CCAATGATGTTTCAGTCCTTGATGCTAAATCCTGCGGCCACTGGGGAAGAAACCTCCACACAACTCCAGGAGGCCTATAAGCCCTAAGGGGACTGTTATACTTGAATCAGCACCCAGAGAGGGGACCAAGGGGAGAGGGACACTATCATCACTCATGACTACAGGAGGTCATTCTATGGGTAGCTTGTGTAAAAATACAGGGTATGCATTAGATCAGGAGTCCATCTGATGGTCTTATCCTTGCCTATGGGTTCTGATTCTTTTCAGACCACATTTTAACCATGGCCCATTTCCAGGGATAAGGCCTTTCCAGCTGCTAATTCCTATTATGCAGGACATCTGGGGAAAAGGAAAAAAAAATCCTAGTGCTGATACTGTCCCAAGGCTACCATCTTAATACCAGTGGCCATGAATATATTCACCTTAAATTAGTGTCCAGGGTCAGCATTATTCATTTTCATTACATTTTTTTTGCCAAATCCTAGCCAAAGAGCTGGTGTAACTACAGAGATGTGGAAATGAATTTAGCCTAAACTGCCCCGATGCAGCTAATAAGGGAAAGTTGTCCAATCATCACAGAGTCGGCCTCTGACAGCCCGTCACATTTTCCACTGATGCACCAGACGTGACTAAACTGTGCAGGGGCTGTCCGTCCGGGATCTGGATTCCCTTTCACTGTGCTCAGCAGGAAGGGGCCAGCATCGTCCTATACCCATGTCATGAACTTGACATAACCCTTAGTAATGGAAGAAGAGGCCTGGCATGCCACCAAGCTCAGCCTTTTAGCTTAGCCTGCACACCCTGTGAAATTTTAATTATTTCAAGGTCCACATTGTACCCAACCTGTAGGGAGACCAAATTTCTGGAGGAGAAAATAAAACATGTTGCTATTTCAGCAGCCATCTGTTACCACACACTGGACAGCAGGGCTCAATGGATATCCGATCATCCCTAAAAGTTACAACTTGGAAGATGAATTTATTATTGGTTGGTGCCTTGACACCTAGCAGAGAAAATACGGACTCAAAGACATATATACGGACAAAGGTATTTATGTTAAACACTCAAAAATTTTTCATTGCCTCCTAAGTTTAACTCTCTCTGCTAAAGAGAAGAATAAAATGTAAATAAGAAAGATATATTTTATAAGGAAGAAAGAAGAGTAAGAACTAGCAACACAGAGGTTGGTTTGATTTCCTTCTTAATTTACAGGTTTTCTAGTCTTTAGTTTATTTTTTAAAAAAAATAAAACTTCATTATTTTCTATTTTGCCATACATATTCTTAGACAGTAAATCCTCTTGCAGACCATGGCAGGGACATAAATGAAGGGATGTTAGGGGAGCTCGTGGCCTGTCTGCCCCGGCCACCCTCCCGTCCTCCACGTTCCATCCTTCAAGGCACACGGAACTCAGGTTACATGAATGATTCCAGGACAGGCAGAAACTTCTTGTCCTTCATATTTAGAATAACTCCGAGTACTCCAAACTCCCCTGCAAAATTCAGGCAGGGAGAGGATTTTTTAAAAGGAAAAACACCCTTAACCAACTTTCAACCTGGAGACTTCAGCCACTTGCCAAAATATGCCATCTTGTGAAGCCAATAAGTGGAGAGCAGAAGAGCAGGAGGAGCGTGGCTGTAACTGGACAAGGGGTAGGGTTTTCATTTCTCACAATGCAAGGGGAGGAGGATACCAATATGGTTAGTCAGTCAGCAAGCATTAATCCTCATTAATGTCTCCCATTCTTCTCTGCACAGCTGTGCAAACATAAATTAATTGGGTCATTCTGACGAAGGCATACAAGAAAAAAATTTCAATGGGAGGCAGAGGAACTAACTGGACACACAACACATTCTTCAAATGTGCAGGAAGGATTGTACAAGCTACCACATCATAGGCTGGGAGATAGACATTCAAATTCACACCACCATAAACTCCCCTGTGGGAGAAGCTCCAAAAAGCAGAGGAGGTGGGGACATGTTCATGAAAAAGCATATGATAAACTGCCAGAGTGAGAACAGTGGTTCCCACTCCTTGCCAGATGCTGTCAACTTCACAGGGCCATTCCATTTAACCCCCTAATAATACAATTACCTCCAATTTACTTATGAGGTAATTAGAAACAAAGAAGTCAAAGAACTTGCCGGAGGTCACACCAGCAGTAAATGGAGGACTCACAGCGGTTGACTTTCAATTCAGGCCGACTGACTCCAGAGACCATGTTCCTAAGATGACACTGTCCTGTTTTCTATATACTTGGCATTAGGCTTGCATCTCGGAGAGTAGAAAAAAGGTAGGGCCACTTCTTGCACTTAATCAACTTATCTGATTGGGGAACCAGGATGGATATGTGTGAAATGGTCAGGGACAGGAGCATTACATTAGGGTTTGCATTGTTCTGGTGAAGGAAGCCACTTAGGGGAGTTGGGGGAAGTGGCTAATATTCATCTGTGCAACTTTGAGAAGGATTTCTACCAGACTCTAAACTAAAAACTGAGACACTGAAAGAATACTATACTTTAGAAAATACTGATTCATTCCTGCCGTGGTATGGTTTGACTATTCAAAAAGGGCTCTCCCTTTCAGAACTCTCCCTTCAGAAAGGACAGGACAGTCAGCCCCTTCCCCAGCTTCATCTTAATGGTTCATAAATATGCCCACAGCCTCCTGGAAACCCAGTCAGAGAAGAGAGAGGACTTCTTGGAGTTCACTCTGACCGAGGTGTAGCAACCTCTCCCAGCCTCCAGAGACTAAGAAGGGAGGATATGATTTGCGTCATCTCTTTGGTCCTTTTCACTGGAAACTACCCATCCCAGGGCCTCTGACTGACAGAAAGGGGCAGACTGGAACTAGGGACCTGGGACCCATGAACATTCTCAGGAGAAGAGGCAGTCCTCCAGAAATTGGAAGAGTGAGTATGGTCATGCCAGAAATTATTCTGCAATTATTTACAGCAGACGCATGACCCTCATGCCTGTGTAAGTGCGTGTGTATGTGTGTGGGGGGGTGGCCTATGATAATGGTTCTCAACCAATCGGTTCCCGTTCCCTTTGCTGCATTTAAATTTCTGTGGCATTCTTAACATTCAACTTCAGGTGTGCATGAATTTTTTAAATCCCTGCCTTTTTAATTGGGAAGACACATTATTGTGATGAGGTCCTTTCTCCCTGCATGGACAAAATTCAGTTGCAAGAGCTGGGGAATCTGTGTGTCGCTGATATCACCTTGCTTGTGACTCAGGTTTTATGAAGAATCAGATGAGGTGGCAAAAACAAATCTGCGAACACTTGCTGGATGAATGGTAGGTTGAATGCACAGAAAGAAGGGCCTGCGGGTCATCCCTTTTCAGGCAGGCTTTCAGCTCAGCCCTGCCACTCCTGACAGCCCAAGCAGGGTCAGGGTCTTTAGGAGAGAGCAAATATTCCTTAAATGTCCCGACCAAAGAACAAAGAGCTCAGTTAAAGCTCCTGGACAGTGGTTCTCAACTCCACAGAATCATAGAATCCCCAGGGGATCTCTGAAAAAACATTCATACTGAGCCCGACCCTAACGATTCTGATTCAGAGGGTCAGGAGTGGGGCCTGGACACTGTGGTTCTAACACAGAACCAGGGTTAGAACTGCTGCACTGAACAAAGCCAAATCCAGAAGCATCAATGAGTGTGGTTACTCAATCAACAGACTCTGAAATGAACATAATTCTTCTGTTCAATCCCAGCTATACCACTTAGCAGTTAAGTGACCTTGGACAAGGTACATGACTTCCCTGAGACTCTGTTTTCTTAGCAATACAATGGGGTTAATAATCATACCAGTATTAGAGGGTAGTTGAAAGGATTGCATGAAATCAAGTATGTAAATCATGTGACCCAATGTCTAGTACATGTAAAATGCACAGTAAGTATCAGCTCCCGTGACAGATGATGGTGACAGTAAAAATACACCAGTTATGTTTCAATAAAAGGAATGTTTTTCTAGGCTGGGTATTTATTTACAAGGCCAGGTCTTAAGGAATTGTGAAACACTGGAATGTGAGAGACATTTGGCATGTCTTTCAGTTATGAATATAGGCAATAAGACTCAGTAGTAGGAGCAGCACCTATGATCTTGTCACTGATAGAAATCACAGATATTTCCATATATTACAGTCATGGCAAAACCCTAAAAGAGTATTTATATTTAGGTTGACCAACTGCCCTGGTCTGCTCAGGACTGAGGGGGTTTCCCTAGATGTAGGATTTGCAGGGCTAAACTGGGAAAGTCTCAGGGAAACTGTTCCCTACTGACATTCCTCACTACTTAGAAATTACAGTAGTTATCGCCTCACTGAATGCCACTGTTTAATGTGTTAATAAAGAAGCACCTACCCTGCTATATATCACAATTTCAAACAATATCTTGGTAAGCGTACATATGGCCACATAATCTGTGTCCTTTATAACACTTTGTATTTCATTTGATGCATTTAAAAGCATTGTTCTGAGTCCACAGGCATCACCAAATTGCCAAAGGGGTCCATGGCACAAAAAAGATGAAAAGGGAAGAAACTGGGAACATTGGTTGGAAAATGGAGGAAACCAGATTTTAAGTGCTTTTATGCCCTGCAACCTAAAAATATGGCAGAAGGAAGACATAAGCGTGTACCTCCAAAGGACACGACTAGATAATCAGTCAATGGAGCTGCTTTCCCACTATCAACAGTCTGTCTTATAATCCTACAAACAGTAACCAGGGAGTCTCCCTAATTTCTGCACTCCTGGTGGCATATATATGTGTATTTTACATATATACTTACCTTGTTGCAAAGTTAACTCAATCTTGACAGCTACAGATTGGAGTATAATCTGTTAGGTCTACTAGTTTCCAATAACTACAAAATGCTTCCCCTAAGAATCACAATTTGACAGAACTTAAAACTTTCCATGAATTAAAACAATGGAAAACTGGATTTTCAAAGATCAAGTTTAAAGAAGTGGTCAAAAATGAAACTTTAACTCTTACCCGATACCACTGGGCTTCTGATAGGCACCGGCTCCCGTCCTGCCTAATCGCCACCACTGACAGCCTTTCCAGAATTCTCCCACTGGGCAATAAGAGACCACTTCTCTTCTGATCGATGTAACTGTAAGCTCCCAGCCCAATGTGACCAGAAGGCAGAGTTCTCATGATTGCCCTTGTCCCGGTATACACAGATTTCTTTACTTCCCTGTCATTTTTACAAAATCTCCTCACTAACAAAGTGGACCTCTCCTTTTTGCTCTTAAAAAAATCTTCTTCTACATCTTCACAATTATCAGAGAAGTCCTCAAAATGGCTCAGAAAGGTCTTGGCAGGTGGACTGTTAGTCAAGTCCTCCCTGCAAAAGCTGTCACTTGAACATACCACACTGGCCCTTTGGCAAGAACCTTCAAAGCACAAGTATTTGTCATCCAAGGTGTCACAATGATCACACTGCAGCTGCCCATTCTTATTATCACAGTTTTCAGCCAATTCCATGAGTTTACAAGTATATGCCACATAATTTTTCTTTTCCTCCCCACCAACACCAGGCAGTGGTACACAGTTTCCACAATCATCCAAAATCAAGTTGCCTGACAGAGTACAGAAAGCATCTGACACTCTTCTCTCAACTTCATAATGAAAGTGAAATGCTGCCGTGTTACTGTCAGGGTCTGCCTGGCCAGTCTCTACAGCGGCTGACTGACTTCCTGAGGGACTAATGTCCATGGGAGGTCCATCGATTTCCAGTTGAATTCCAGGAAATGCCTTTCTTTCCAGTGAGGATGGGATTCCAGTTTCCAAACATGGGTCTTCCTCCATGACAGAATCGCACGTGTCATAACACTGGCTCTGAGGAAGGATGCACTGGCGGTTTGTCAGTATGTTGTTGTGGTTAATGTTAAGGTTTTTCACAGAAACTGGTGTGCTTTCTGCCCAGCACTTTTCATTGCTGTTCTCATCGCTCACTATTTTCTCCCTTGCTATGGAGAGAATCTTGGGCAAGTTGCTTCCAGAAGGTTCTTCTTTAAGCTTGTTCATCCATGGGATGGTAGAAGCCTGCCCGCTCTGCCTGACACTATGTGCCTTTGGAACACTGACATCTGAGATGTTTTCACTACTTTCATCTACAGCCGATGGAGTGGACGTCACTTTTCTCTGAGTCACAGGTGTGAGAACAGAAGCTGCCATTTCTTCAGACGTCATCTTGACGCACACACAGGTTTTAGCTATTGCTGTTTCTCCTCTCTGGTGATCATGTCAAGATGTTTATAAAACAACTTATTATTAAAATAATCTTAGATATACAAGTACTCTGAGAAACAGTGTGACAATTTCTTTGATTCAGGTGCATTAAAAGCCAAATAAATTTCCCCAGTTATCACTTCCTGTCATTTGCAATATATTTTTCTAGACCAGGGTTTTAAGGTGGCAGTTCAACTTTCTTTCCTCTATTATTTGAAGTAATTCTTTTGGAGATTTTTACTTGGGATTGCATTCTGCAAATTCTGATCCATTACTGACTTACTAATGATTTAAAAATCCAGTTTCAATGTTTCCTGAAAGAAAAAGACATGATGTCAATGCTGTGACACTAAATAAATTTTTTAAAATGAACTTCATAATAATTCTAAGCTAATGCAAAATATGAACCAATTTTGAGGAAGGAGTTTTGCAATTGATAGCTACTTTCAATGTCTTAGGTATTTGTTTTTCTGATTTAATATTTCAGAAATTCTGTTTCCAGCTGAAGTAGAGTAATAACAGAGACCAGAATTATCCCCCCATCTTAAACAACTGAAAAAATCAGAAAAAAATATGAAATAATGGTTTTTAAATATTGAACAAGAGGTAACACAGAATAGTGATTCCTGAAATAAGAAAAAACAAACAAATGAGGTGAGCCCTATAAATGCCCTAGCTTACAGCTTGAGAGCTATGCTACAGGGGAGGAAAGAGGAACTCAGGTTGAACCCAACAGAGTGCTGATTTAAAGAAAAAAAAGTTGAAAGTTCAGTAAGGCCACAAAAACTGGAGAAAGAAGACAAATTAAGTGGAGAGGAGCAAAGATAAGAATGGTAGCAGGCTTCTCATGAGGAACAATGCAAGCCATGGGGAGGTGGGTGGGGGGATGGGTGAAATAGGGGATGAGAATTAAAGAGTACACTTATCATGATGAACAAATAAAATAAAATAAACAATACAAGCCAGAGAGTGGAGTAAATCTTGAAAGTACTAAAGTACTTTATTTCTTTTAATACTTTAAAAGGAAAAAAAGAAAAAATACTGCCAACTTAGAATTCTATACCCAGCAAAAATATCTTTTGTAAACAAAAATAAAATAAAAACTTTCTAGACATATAAAACCTGAAAGAAGTCATCACCGGCAAACTTGCATATAAGAACTGTTAAAGGAAGTCCTTTAGGCAGAAGGAAAATGATACCAGACAGAAATTTGGATCAATGCAAAAGAACAGAGTATGGAAAATGTTAAACATGTGGGTAAATACAAATTTTCTTATTGTAAATCACTTAAGATAGTTGATCTTTTGAAGCAAAAATAATAGCAATGTATTATGGGGTTTCTAACAAACGCAGAAGAAAAATATATGACAATAAAAATGCAAGGTCAAGAGAAGAGAAATGGAAGTATATTGTTATAAGATTATTTTCTACATGAAGTGGTATAATATTACTTAAAGGGAGGCTGTCATAAGTTAAAGATGTATACTCTAAGCCCCAATGCAACCACTTTAAGAAAAGATATAGGTAATAAGTCAAAATATTAGAATCATAAAAAATTTCAAAGAATCAAAAGGCAAAAAAAGGGAAAAGATGAACAAAGAACAGATGTGGCAAATGTGACTGTGTGTGTGTACTCCCTCTGTTTTATTTTTTTAAAAGATTTTATTTATTTAACTGGGGGAGAGAGAGAGAGAGAGTAAAGCAGGGGGAGCAGCAGGCAGAGGAGAAGCAGGCTTCCTGCTGAGCAAGGAGCCCGATGCAGGGCTCAATCCCAGAACCCTGAGATCATGACCTGAGCTGCAGGCAGACACTTAACCAACTGAGCCACTCAGACGTCCCTCCCTCTGTTTTATTTGAATAAGAAATTTTTCAGGTGAATGTCAGTGGACATAAAAATTTTCAATTTATGAAAAGCATTATTAAAAAAATAATTCAGCTTATCTTTATTCTCCAAATTATTGAACCCTGTTCTATGTTGGGAACTGTGTAATGGGCTAGATATCCAGGACCTGCTTGCAAGTCTACTGAGAGAGGGAAAATTGAACAAATTTCAATCCAGTGTGGCAAGTGTAATTATCAAGGATATATAAGGCACTATGAGACCGTGGGTTCCCATCACAAGTATACTATTCCTTTGTAGGTAAAGATGTTGTTTCCAAGACAAAGGATGAGCATTCATGCTCTGCTGTCAACAGCAGATTTGACCTATCTTTGCCCTTTGCCTCACAGGTGTCCCTCTTCCCCTCACTTCTTCCTTTTCCTCTTGTCCCAAAGAAGTAGCAACTACTCTTCCCTTACATATATGCCACTCAAGTGCAATCACAAACTCTCACCTGCTCCCAGCACATGCAGTCTTCACAACTACCTTAAAAAATCAGAGGACACCCTATCAATCAGATACTTCACAGGGAGTCAGTAAGCCCACAAAGAGCAACAAGGTCCTGGTTCAACCTAATCCTTCCACCTTTCACATCCTCCTTCCAACTTGGTTTCTTTTTTATTTTCTTTGGGGAAATGTCTCTCTTATTTTTAGAGATATATGCTCAGTGTAAAACAATTCAAACAATGCAGAAAAACACAAAGAAAAAAAAATTTTCAACTTAACATATAAATCCCACTATCCAGAGATAACCACTATTAATACTTTGACAAAACTCCTTCCAGAAGGCTCCCTATGCACCAACACACATAGGTATATGTATATAATTACAAAAGCACCTGATCATGCTGTACATCCTGATTTACACCTACTTTTTTTTTTAACAAATTCAATTCATGAATAGCTTTTCATGTCAAGAACTATATAGATAATTTTAATGGCTTATGGCAGTAACTTGGTTTCAGTATCTTTGCTCTATTATTTAGAGTAACTTTTAAAGCCAAAACCTCCAGACTGACTGTTAATGTGTCTTTTCTCACCTATGGGAGGAAGGTAATTCAAGGCAAGTGCTGCTTTAACTCCTGTTCTAAGCACTTTGAAATTATTAATTCATATAATTCTTACTCAACCCTACAAGATAGCATGATGGTTTTAAAATATGTCCACAAAAAAAAAAATATGTCCACAAATTCTCTGATACTCCTCCTTTCAAAAGCTGGAGCCTAACTGCCTTCCCCTTGCTGTACTCAGTGACTTCCTTCCAACATACAGAATATGTTGGAAGTTACAGTTTATGACTTCTGAGAATAGATCATAAAAGGTCATAAAATCTTGGGGTTTCCTCCTTGCTCTTCCTCTTGTTTGCTCTGGGGGAAATCAGCTGTCATGTCATAAGGAGAGTTCCATGTGGCAAGAACCGAGGCCTCCTGCCAACAGCCACTGGTGTGAGCCATCTTGGAAAGGGATTCTCCAACACCAGTCAAGGCTTCACATGACTGCAGCCATGGTCTACATTCTACATATGGATTCTAACCTCATGAGCAAGGCTGAACCAGAAGCACTCAGCTCCCAAATTCCTGAACCATAGAAAATATGAGATAAGAAGCGTTTATTGTTTTGAGACACTGTTTTGAGGTAATTTGTTGCACAGCAAGAGAGAACTAATACAGATCAGTTCTATCGTTATCCACATTTGACAGATTAGAAACCAAAGCACAGAGAAGCTAAGTCGCTTGCCAAAGATCACACTACTGGAAAATGGTGAAGTCAGGATTCAAAACCAAGAAACCTGACTCCAGAATCTATGCTCTTCACCATAGTTATGCTGCTTTCTTGCTACCTAGTTTGAAACCTCACGGGTTTGAATTCTTGATGTCTGCTAGCTGAAGAGATCCATGGCTTCCGAGAGGATCCTCTTTTATTTGAGTTTGTCTCTGGAAGGCTGAGATCTTTGTTTTGCCTCCAGCTGTAATCACGGCCGAGGACTGAAGACTCCATCTCAGGTCATTCTTTTATTCAACAAATTCTTATTGAGTACGACATTAAATGAGGCAATAATCTGTCCTTGATTTCTTCATAAGCTAATAAATCATCAGGTAAGGTACAGTGCAAGTAGGGCTATAATCTGGGTTAACACAGAGAAAGAGCCTCTAAATCAGATAGTGGGGACAAGGCGGGAGTGACTGCCAGGGAGGTTTTCTGGAGGAGATGATGATCAAGCTGAGTTTTGAAAGACAAGAAGGAATTTGCTAGATAAAGAGGTGGTGTGGACTTTTCAGAAAAGATTCTCATGGAAAAAAACAGTAAGACATTGACACCTGGCACTTCAGGCAAATATTTTAACCACTTTGGGTTTGGGTTGATTTCCTCTCTTGTAAGAGAAATAAAATCACCTATTCCATCAGATTATGAAGAAAATGCTTTGGAGAGTGCCTGGGTAGCTCAGTCAGTTGAGCATCTGCCTTCAGCTCTCAGGTCATGATCCCAGGACCCTGGGATCGAGCCCCACGTCAGGGAGTCTGCTTCTTCCTCTCCCCCCCTGCCTGTGCTCTCTCTCGCTATCTCTCTCTCTCAAATAAATAAATAAAATCTTGAAAAAAAAAAAAGAGAAAAAAGAAAATGCTTTGGGAATCAAAAGTTAAGGGCAAATCTACATGTTTGTTATTCTATGCCTTGTAAAGTTCAGCAGTTCTGCTGGTGACATAGTGTTAAATTTACTTTTGTCAGATTCACTCAAATTTAAATTTTAATTCTATAACTGGGACTGACTCCCTGAATCCTAGCTGCACGACCATGAGCTGGTTATATGATCCACCCTGAATTATACTTCCCATTTCTATAGCATTAAAATGAAACACACATATTTTTCTACCTACCTCCTCTTGGTTAGCCCTAGGTGGTCTGTGAAGGAAGATGGGTTAGGTTAAAGTTATAGCTAGCACTAGTCAGTTAGCTAAAGAAAACCCGAAGCACTGAATAAAGATCACAGCCAAAGAGTTCTGAAGAAGAAAGAGATGGAGAAAAAGCTTCTTTTCTTAATGTGGTTTGTAGGGAAAACTAGAGAAGGACCAGCCCGGGAGAG